ATTAATCATTTCTGAAAAGTTTTCCTGACACCAAGAGAAAAATGGTGACAGGGGAACCTCCAGCTCTGTTCCTGTGAGCTGTGTTGAGGAGGTTGTCTTTTCCCTCCAATCAGCTCTCATAGCTCTCCTCATTGAGCTCTGCAGAGTGACACTTCATATATCCTCCCCTTTTTTCTGAACGCTCTGACAAGCTTTGTAAATTCAGCAAGACTGCAGAAAGACTAGTACAACTTTTAAGGGAGGATTTGTTTCACCTCTATGTATCACTTGAGGCTAGTCACTTCACTGGGTATATGTAAGGGTTTACAGCCACTTTAATGTGATTCTAAAGGCTTTTTTTTGTTTGTTTTTGAATAACGAACATATCTATACTTACCTGCTGTGTCCAGTAGTTTTGCACAGAGCAGCCCGGATCCTCCTCTTCTCGGGTCCCCCACCAGCGCTAGTGTCAGGTGCCACCACAGCAAGCAGCTTGCTATGGGGGCACCCGCTGCTCCGTGTAGCCATTCACACATGGAGCCGTGGCTTGGCCCCACCCCCTTTCTTCTCATTGGCTCACTGGCTGTGATTAATAGCAGTGGGAGGCAATGGTTCCTGCTTCTGTCTCAGCCAATGGGGAGAGGGAGTCCTGCGATAGCAGAGACTCCAGTAAAGATCACTGGATCGAGAGGGGGCTTAAGGGGAGTATTAGGGGGAGCTGGGGGGCTGCTGCACAGAGAAGGTTTTGTACCTTCATGCATAGAATGCATGAAGGTAAAAAACCTTGAGCTTTTAGAACATTTTTTAAGATTGAGCTTTACTGTATATATCTGCCCTTCTCATCATGGTGTGCTTGATGATTAATCTTCTTCTTTTTTTTTTTTTTTGGTAAATAAGGAGTTGTCATGTGATCCTGATTTTATTTTGTTATCACAGGAGGTGTTTGTCAGTATGTATTTTGAAGCACTTGCAATAAACAAATTTTTAGATTCATGATTTTACTGTGGAAAGTAGCTGTGAGTTTGACATTTCTGAAAAGTTCAGTTTTACCTTGAACAGGGTTTAGGTTTGGAAGGTTTATACCAGTTCACAGTGGATACTGAGCTAAGTTGGTTGCTGGAAAAAGAAAACCAGAAGCAGCATATAAACGTGTACAGATCAAGATTTGTTTTAAATCTTTGCAAACATGTAAGGGTCAGTGATGGCTTCAAAGCAAACCCAGGGACATGACCAACATTTGCAGAGGATTTCACACAGCAGATAAGTGAGAATACACCAGTTTGGAGCTGAAGTAAAAAGAAATATTTGATGGTCAAACAACACTTCTAGGTGCTGAGTAAATAAAATCCTCTGACTGTGGTTTATTACGGATTGGAAGATAAACTCGATTTAAAAATAAAATAAAATGAAGTATACCAAATACAGGCATTTTATGTTTAAATATTCAGATCATTGTTTTTTTAGGGGCAAATTTCTTTGAAAAGATTTATTCTTTGATGATGTAATTGACATGAACAGGACATTGCTGGTGATATTTCTAAAACCGTAATAATAAACACCGGGGAAATGTGGCTCTGTACTCCATAGTAACCATCCCAATGTGTCCTTCCATTCCCTAAAGTTCCCTTGAAAAGGACATCTGGAATTTTGTCTGCCAATGCCAGTACATGCAGTTCTCCAGCCCTTATAATAAGAACAGGGCATGGTGGAGGTATGAGACGTAATTAAGAAGGATCATGTTGATTTTTTTTTTCTTATGGTGCAAACAGGTTTCAGCATTTTTGTAGTTGAGGTGCTCTTCAAGATTATATTTCTTGAAGAAAATGTATAATGGTTTTGTGTTTTTTCACATTATAAAGCAGAGCTAAAGTCTCAGTTTTAAAGACTGCGAGCATGCAGGCTCAATATGCATTGTCTCTTCTGCAATAAAATAAACCCAGCTGCCTGCTTCCAGTCTTCTTTGGAATATACACTCACTGGCCACTTTATTAGGTACACCTGTTCAATTGCTTGGTAACACAAATTACTAATCAGTCAATCGCATGGCAGCAGCTCAATGCATTTAGGCATACAGACGTGGTGACGATGACTTGCTGAAGTTCAAACCGAGCATCAGAATGGGGAAGAAGGGGGATTTAAGTGACTATGAACGTAACATGATTGTTGGTGCCAGACGGGCTGGTCTGATTATTTAAAAAACTGCTGATCTACTGGGATTTTCACGCACAGCCATCTCTAGGGTTTACAGAGAATTGTCCAAAAAAAAGAGAAAATCATTGTGGATGAAAATCCCTTGTTAATGTCAGAGGAGAATGGGCAGACATTCATATGGTAGGGTCAGGATTTGGCATAAACAACGTGAAAGCATGGATCCATCCTGCCGTGTATCAACAGTTCAGGCTGATGGTGGTGGTGTAATGGTGTGGGGGATATTTTCTTGGTACTAGCAAGGTGTACCTAAAGTGGCTGGTGAGAGTACACTGAGCTGTGCTTGCAGTTTACATTCTGGCACAGATTCTGTGCACCAGGAAGACTAAACTCCTTCACATGGAGGAGTGATGTCATCCTACACTGGCTCCAGAAGGAATTGGGTAGTAGATGCTGGCATTGGCGAAGGATGTTGGACCGTTAAAGGAATGGTAAGTATTGCTGACTTTAGTTCTAATTTAATGTTTTCTTTATTATGGTAAGGAAGAAATTAAATAATATATATTTATAATATATATTATAAGTCCGGTATATATGAAATATTGAATTAAAATATTATGTATTCTTTATAGCTGAACTCCAGGAATTCAGCCACTTTGTAAAACCTGCTGACTTACCATGGGTTTAAATGGAGAAACAGAAAAAGGGCGCACCGACCTAGTGCATTATCGTTTAAAATAATTTATTAAAGAAACAAAAATAGGTATCATACTCACAATGGACATAATAACACAGGCATGTCAAACTGAACAAGGTGTATGATCCAAACAACATCTGAGTCCATATGATGGAACCCTGGATGACCAACTGGCTAACGTGTTTCGAGGATACAACCTTTTCCTCAGAGCCATGGATTTACCATGGGTTTAGTCCAGTAAGGTGCATGACGCCTCATGGACTTCTCTTGTTTATTTACAACTGACTGTTTTACAAGTCACTGAGATTTCAGCTATCGATGCACTCCCAAGACTCTGACAGGAGATGCGCTGTCTACTCACACACAGCAGTTCTGCCTTTCACTCAGCTGTTCATTCACAGGAGACTTTGTATTTTGTGAATGGATTCACATAAAACAAAGTGCTCTGTGATTGGGCAGGGGGAAGGGCAGGTACAGCAGTTACATTTAACTCTGCAGCTTCAGAAGCTGAGACTAGAAGGTCCATCATTGGAGCGCTGGAAGTATAGTATTAGCAGTGCTCCCGATGCTCGTACATTAAAGAGAGAAGTCTACGAGGTGGCATGCATCGCATTGGACTTAACCCATAGAAATCGATCACATTTTTCAAAGCGACTGAATTCCAGAAGTTCAACTTTAGGACACTTTTCACATGCTTTCTTATGGCTCTCTAGCATGATGTTGTAAGAATCCTGTTTACAGAGATCAGTAGTTTAACCTCCTTGGCAGTGATCTCGAGTGTGGCTCAGGGTTAATTTTCAGCACCAAAAGCGGTAACCCCGAGCCACACTCAGGATTACACTGTAGTGTAATCTACCTTGTCCCTGCAATCCCCCGATGTCGGCATCTGTCTTCCGGGTTCCCTTCCCTGCGAACACCGTGACGCAGCGGGGCAGAACCGGCGGGAGATTCAGAAAAGTAAACAAAACATGACATACACACAATGCATTGTAATCTGTTAGGATTACATTACTGTATCAAACCATTTCACCTCAGTTTTGTCCCTAGTGCTCTGTCCAGTGTCCTGCCTGCACTTTTACCATTCTTTCTGCCTGGAAACTTGAACGTTCATGGCATCCAAAAAGCGTCCCTTTTTAGGTCAAAAGCGGTTTTAGACTCGCTAGGAAACAGTGATAGTGAAATAGAATCACTTGCAGAATTGATAGTGAGTTGTGGGGAATAGCAGACGTTTGGACTCTGTTCACATCTCAGCATTTCAGGAATGCATGCAAAATCATGCTTTTTTTGCATTTACTATATGTGAAAAATGTGTGTTGCGGTGCCATTTATTATTAATGTAACCCCCCAAACATGGCAAGCAGATGCATGGTGTTCCACATGGAAAACCGGTCAACAAACGTGAAGCTCAGCGCTCAAAAAACAACATGATCTGCTTTGGCACATTTAGGGCAGCCATTTAAAATCAATAGTCTGCCCTATTCGTGTGGTGAAAAACGGATACAGAAACAACCAAAATCATTCTCAAAATTCTTAGTTGTGAATGCAGCGTTAGATTCTTCCTTTTAAAAGCACAAATAGTTCCAGAAGCAGCTGGCATGGCTTCATTTTCACTCTTCTGAGTCATAAAGCTGTATTTACTTTAAATGATACTTTCATGCAGTTTCGGGATGTCTTCTTTTAAAGTTGTACTTTGTAATTTTCCACACTTTTAGGCTTTTGTGGGGTTAATGAAAACCTTTAATACTTTCCCATTCAAACACCGGTTGTAACTCTCCTCCCCAGTACGTTTCTGAATTATTCACTACAATTCCACATCTGTCAAGCATGGCCCTACCTTGCACATTCCTAGTGTTCATGTCTCTTTGAATTTACAGGAAGGAGATTTCTGGGTGAATTGATTAGACTCTGCATGCATGTGAATGTGCACTGTGATGATAAAGAGAAAAATCCTTACTGACTCTAATTATTGCAGAGAGCTAAAAATGTGCAGTACACACCCAATTGATAGGGTAGACCTTTTTCAAGTCTGATTTTAGATCACCATGTCACCAGTGAAAAAATGAACATTTATAGTTTTGTAATTCTATTTCTGTGCCTAGAGCCCAATTGTCCCAGACTGGTCTCATACATTTAGAGGCTTGTGAATAAAAGTGTATGTAAACCCTAAAAATGAACTTCATTTTTTTCTCACACACACTATATTGCCAAAAGTATTGGGACACCCCTACAAATCATTGGATTTAGGTGTTCCAATCACCTCCATGGTCACATGTGTATAAAATCAAGCACCTAGGCATGCAGACTGCTTCTACAAACATTTGTGAAAGAATGGGTCACTCTCAGGAGCTCAGTGAATTCAAACATGGTAGCATGATAGGTTGCCACCTGTGCAATAAGTCCATCCATGAAATTTCCTTGCTACTAAATATTCCACGGTCAACTGTTAGTGGTATTCTAACAAAATTGAAGCAACTGGGAACAACAGCATCTCAGCCACAATGTGGTAGGCCACGTAAAATGACAGAGCGGGGTCAGAGCATGCTGAAGCGCACAGTGTGCAGAAGTCGCCAACTGTCTGCAGAGTCCTAAAGACCTCCAAACTTCGTGTGGCCTTCAGGTTAGCACAACAACAGTGTGTAGAGAGCTTCATTGAATGGGTTACCATAGCCAAGCACATGCATCCAAGCCTTACATCACCAAGTGCAATGCAAAGCTTTGGATGCAGTGGTGTAAAGCACATCGCCACTGGACTAGAGAAGTGGAGACATGTTCTCTGGAGTGACAAATCACGCGTCTCTGTCTGATAATTTGATGGAGGTGTCTTGGTTTGGTGGTTGCCAGGAGAACAGTTTGTGGTGGATTAACTTGACAGTTCTGATCTCAACCCACTAGAACACCTTTGGGATGAGTTATAGCAAAGACTGCGAGCCAGGCCTTGTCCGACATCAGTGCCTGACCTCACAAATGTGCTTCTGGAAGAATGGTCAAGCAGTCCCATAGGCACACTCCTAAACCTTGTGGACAGCCTTCCTAGAAGAGTTGAAGCTGTTATAGCTGCAAAGGGTGGGCCAACTCAATATTGAACCATATGGACTAAGACTGGGATGTCATTAAAGTTCATGTGCGTGTAAAGGCAGACGTCCCAATACTTTTGGCAAGATAGTGTATGTGTATATAATACAGATAAGCGTGTGCGTATGTATGTGTATGTGTCTGTGTATGTATATATGCATATATATATATATATATATATATATATATATATATATATGTTGATTTGCCAGAAATCCAGTAGTGAGCTGACAACACAGTGCCTCTGTTGCACTGAAATCGCAAGGAGGCCTGTGAGCCCTGCCCAGACTACTTCTGTTACCTATAGAACTCTTCCCTCCAATGTTCTGGAGAAGAGAAGGAGTTCTGTAGTCCAGGCACACTTTCTGTGTCAAGAACTTGCATAGGTCTAGGTTTAATATGGAGGTCACCTTTCCACCACTAAATTCTTTGTATTCCTATAGAGAATGCTATAAGGGGGGGGGGGGTGTAATTACTACTGTAATTACCTTTTTCAAAGCAAAATGGTATATATTGGGAGTCAAAGGATTGTGATTGGCTGTGAGCAGATTGACAGATGACAGGTTGACAGATGCGGTGGCCGTACTCATGTAACCTCACTTTTTAGTGATTATATGCTTACAGGGTTGGATGAGCAATCTTGGACACAGACATTTTGTGTCCAGGTCTGTTCATGTATCCCTGAATGCATTAAACCCCCTCAGATGTATGTGGATACATGCATACAGTTGTGGTGTCTGTCAGCCGGTCATTGAGTTGTACAGGCTTCTGGTCATAGCTGACTGCACACGCATGTGACACCAGGTGCAGAAATATGCTCCTTTTTGACAGTGTACAGCCCTCTGCGCCAGTATGTAAGAGCCCTGAGTCATATACGTAGCTATGCACAGAAAGTTAATTATATCAGAGTGATCACAGAAACGGGATTAACATTGTATGTGAAGCCTCACATGCAGGGGTGGACTGACAACTCATGGGGCCCCATGTCCTCGCCCACACTCAAAAAAAGCCTATAAAAGGTACCAGGGGCATTTCATGGGGCCCCCTACTGACCCCGGGCCCTTGGGCAGTGCCCGAGTGCTCGAATGGTCAGTCCGCCCTGCTCACATGTATAAATATAGCTTTATTAACTTCCCTGGCGGTATTCCCGAGTGTAGCTCGGGGTAAAGTTTCAGTACCACAAGCGGTAACCCTGAGCTACACTCGAGAATGCCATGTGGCGTTGCTTCAGGATCCCTCGATCACTTACGTTGTCCTGCGCTCCCGCGATGTCCCTCCTGCAGTGTCCCCTGTAATGTCCTCCGGCCGATGCCGGCATCTGTCTTCTGGGTTATGTCCCCTGCGACGTCGTGATGTACGGGGATGGAACTGGCGAGAAATTTGAAAATTGACAAAAAGTGGCATTCACTAGAATCACATAGTAAAACATTACTGTATCAAAGCATTTCACATACATTTTGTCCCGAGTGCTTTGGCCTGTGCCCTGCCTGCATGTTTACTGTTCTTATTGCCTGGAAACTGAGAAACATCCATGGCGTCCAAAAAGCACCACCTTTAGATCAAAAGCGGTTTTAGATCAGCTAGAGAACAGCGATAGTAAATCAGAACCACTTGCAGAATTGAGTGATAATGATTTGTGGGGAAATTCGTCATCAGACACTGAAAACGATTTTGAGACTTTGCTCAGTGATGTGCGAACTTGGCGCTATATTTCAAATTTCAGTGTTTTTGGTTTGATTATATTATTGAATTAAATTTATTATTGTTATATTATTATTTTTTATGATTATTATATTATAATTTATGATTTCATGTTTCAAATTTTAACATACCCAGGATATTTACTAGACTCTTGTTTGGACAGATTTCAGTGAGTTATTCCTAAAATTTACAGGCCTACAATAAAAAAACGACATATTTCCATGCAAAAAAATGTACCGCTTTGAGCACAGAAATACTGACATAATCAGACCGCTAGGGAGGTTAATGAATAGAAAAAAATGGACACATATTTGACACCACTAAAAATCAGATTCTAGTTCAGTTCTACTACTCCAGTTTTGGGCAGCTTTGCATTTTGAGAAGGCTGTCCTGACAGATGAGAGGGTCTTTCCAAAACAATGCTGTGTGCCTGACAGAAGCAGAGGGTTTCCCAGTGAATTTCATGCTGAGAAAATGCAGCAGTTTTGTTTTACTTGTGGAGGTGTGCACAGCAGAGAATCTAAGAGAATGAGGAAGATGCAAGCCTGTGTGTGAGATGAATGGGTTAAGTTTGAGGTAGATATGTAGCTGGAGAAGAGTGGAGTGTTTGTGTGCAATGTCTACTTTACACCTGCTGCGTCTTCAGTAGGGAGGTGGAAAGGAGCAATCGCTGTCAGCCTCTAGTGGCCAGGTGTCAAAACTGGAGTCTGCTGATAACTTGGGCCTCACAATGCAGAGACAATAGCATTTTCTTCTACCAGGCATTCTTAATCCGAGTAGATAAAACGCCCTGCGCTTTGGGAACCCTGGAATGCCAGTTTTAGGGATTTGTTTTGCAAATTGATTAATTAACCCTTTGAATTGTTTCACGTACTTTCAGTACTCCTTCTTTTTTTTTTTTTTTCTACGTGATTTACGGCTGAATTGGTTGTTCTAAAGGGAAAACTGTCTCCTTGGCTGCTTAACATGTCCTTCATTCTATGACATTGTTTGTGCAAAGGTTTAACATCACTCCAGACTTATATTTTACTAAGCCCACAATGGCTTCTGTTTCCTTTAAGATACCAAGTTGTGTAGAATAAAGACACAATTGGCCCTTGCCTCTTGTGATTTTATGTTATTTCAACCGAAATTCAAGGGAGTTGATGCAATTATTAAAGAAAATGTTTGGTGCATGGACAATTAGTATAATATAGTTACAGTGAAAGCTAACAGCGGCATGGTGAAGTAAAATAAACGAGTCTGCAGGGAGATCTGACTTGGTTATACCTGAACCCAATTCTCTAGCCGCATAGGTGATTACCTTAATAATGTAACAATGCAGCAGATGTGCTCTCTTTACCCAGAATTCCCACTCCCATTTATTTTGACTTATGGGAGGTTTACATGTATTTATATGTATAACGGTGATCATCTTGATTCACGTTTTCGTGATAATATGGTCACCCATAATATTGGACCCAAGCTATACTGCTAGGTGTGAAGCTTAGCTGAAATTTCCCTGGAAATGCTTTTTTTTAAACAGGAGATTGTTGGGTGATTTTTTTGCTAGATTCCTCTGAGCTTTTCTGTATCTGCAATCTGTTTAATTCTGGTCTCTGGTGGCTATTAATCGAGAATACTTTCTGCAACATGACTAAATTGCAGCATTGCAGAGTCATGTGTTGAAGGCCTAATCAACTCCAGTGACTCTCTGTCTGATCATAAGTGATTGCATTTGTGTGATTGTACAACTGGAACGTGCCTTAGATGGAGGTCAGGAAGAAGTTAACAAAAATAAATCTAGTATTGAATGCTTCCAGTTGTGTTTTACAAATTGTCTTTGTAGTCCCGTTACATGACATCATCTAGATATATTTTTCACTGGTAAAAGCAGTTTTCTTGTTTGGTTCAGTAGTACATTATTCACTAGATCAAAATGCTGTATCAAGTTATTTCTTGCAGTATCATTCAGAAAATGTTCCACCAACACTGGTTTGAAAGCTTGTTGGTAGATGCCAGGATTCTCGAATAAAGTTAATAATCAAGCCCTGGACGTTTCTGATTCGATCCAATAGGTGCAATAGACAGAGGAATTCATAGAGTGTTTAAGGCTGGCCATAGACGGGCCATTTATCGGCCGAATCGTCGGCCGATAAACAAAAAAATTGGTCGGCCCCGTTGCTGATGCTGTCACCAATGTCGTTTTTCGTGGATTTTCCAGCATGACCGATAAAAATAAACGAGAAGATCCGCAAAAAACGGCCGTCGGGCTGGCCCTACTAATGGCGTGAATATCAGCTGATTTTTCGTGCGGACGAAAATTCGGCTGATAAATGACCCGTCTATGGCCTGCAGTAGACACTCTTTTGAATTCCAGTGTGTCTGTCGGGTGCAAGTGACAGACTATGTAACTGTTGCAGATAGGTCCATGAATTCAGCATGCACCATGTATGGCAACACAGAGACCAAAACGAGCGGTAGGGAATTTTTCATCTGGCTCAGGCCATTTAAAAGGTAAAGGGTCATGGTGCCAAAATGTGTCAGTGATTATCTCTCGAGGCTAGGTTCACACTGCCGCAGTTTTGCGCAGGCACGACAGTCCATTAATTTGACACTGGCAATTCCCCCCACCTGCAGTAGTGTGAAACTAGCCTTAGGCTAATAAAATAAAATAACCTTTCTCAGTGACTAATCTAACTATTATCCAATCAAACATTCCCAAAAATACTTAAATGAATAAACGATACACAAAATATATATAATAAAAAAAAATAAAATAACAATAGTCTAATTCAAGTCCAAATCCACCCAAAGCAAATACAAATAAG